GTGAGCCGTGATGCCATGGCACTCTACCCAGGGGGACAGCTGGAGGCTCTGTCTCAAAAAAAAAAAAAGAATATTTACTGTATACCATCAATAATCATTTAAAAATATACTACTCGGGAGGCTAAGGCAAGGGAATCACTTGAGCCCAAGAGGTTGCTGTGAGCTATGATGCCATACTCTACCAGAGATGACAAAGCAAGACTCTGTCTCAAAAAAAAAAAAAAATAATAATAATATAGCTTTTTCCACCATCTTTCTATGCCGTTATAATGGTGTGCATGAAATGTCCTGGCTGATGCTATTAAGAGTATCAACAATGCCGAAAAGAGAGGCAAACGCCAGGTTCTTGTAAGGCCATGCTCCAAAGTCATTGTCTGATTTCTGACTGTGATGATGAAGCATGGTTACATTAGCGAATTTGAAATCATCGATGAACTGGGAAAATTGTTGTGAACCTCACAGGCAGGTTAAACAAGTGTGGAGTGATCAGCCCAAGGTTTGATGTGCAACTCAAAGATCTAGAAAAATGGCAGAATAATCTGCTCCCATCCCGCCAGTTTGGTTTTATTGTACTGACAACTTCAGCTGGCATCATGGACCACGAAGAAGCAAGAAGAAAACACACAGGAGGGAAAATCCTGGGATTCTTTTTCTAGGGATGTAATACATACTGAAAAATAAAATGCCTCAATGGACAAAAAAAAAAAAAAAAAAAAATGGAGCTAAAAATTTCCATTCTCAAAAATAATCTAAAGCAAGAATATGTAATCAGTTAAGGACATAAAACTTCCCTAAGGGATATGAAAAGACATTGAGTATTTAAAAAAAGAATATCTTTACTATATATCAGGAATAATCACTTTAAAAACATAAATAGGATTTTTAATGAATGATCTAATAAAAGAATGAGTACAGGAAAAAGTGTTTGTGATATGTCAAGTTTTTTTAAGTGTGTATGTACACATATTTATATATATACAAATTTACATTTGAAAAAGGAGAATACCAGATTCTGCTCTGATTTTGTAGACATCACGTACACTGTATCCATAGGAATTATGTATGCAATCTATAGGACTTCTAATTCTCTGTGTCACTTTCTATAAACAACTCCCTGAAAAAAAATCCTTATTGGAGTACTACAATTAAATTGTTTCTTTGTGTGGATTGTCTCCTAACAGAGGGACATGCTCTGTGAGGACCTGGCTCATGCCACTGAACAGTTGAACATGCTCACAGAGGCCTCAACAAAACACTTGGGGCTGCTGCAGTCTGCCCAGGAAGAACTGACCAAGAAGGAGGCCCTGATCCAGGAACTTCAGCATAAGGTAGGATGCACAGAAGTGTCACTGAAGATGGGAGACAAGAGGGGTGCACAGTTAGTTGTCATGACATTCCTGCCTTGGCTAATTTCTCTGTCTACCAAAGATAGGCTAATGGAGTGTGTAGGCAATCTGGATCGTAGACTTGGGGTCAGAATGACTTGAGTCTGCACACATGAATTGAAATTTGTTTGGCTCCCTCTGGGTATTTGGCACACAGCAGCAAGTCCTAACCACTGTGGGGGCATTATGGCTAACTTTTATCTTTTTAGCAGCTGTTTTAAATTTCTTTCTTTTTTTTTTTTTCCAAATAATTGTGGGTTTTTGGTAGGCAGAGTCACTCTGTTTCCTAAGCTGGAGTGTCTATCTGCCTAGCTCACAGCAGCCTCAAACTCTTGAGCAGTGATCTTCTTGCCTCAGCTTCCCAAGTAGCTGAAACTATAGCTCCCCACCCCCAACAACGATGGCTAATTTTTTCTACTTTTAGTAGAGAATGGGGTCTTATTCTTGTTTAGGCTGGTCTTGAACTCCTGAGCTCAAGGCATCCTTTGGCCTCAGTTTCTCAGAGTGCTAGGATTACAGGCATGAACCACCATGCCTAGCCCTCAAATGACTGTTACTACTTATGAAACTTAAAAATAAATTCTTTGAGGTGCATATTTGTGAGAGAAAAGGAGAAGATTGGGTTATGGTAGCGACCAAATTAGACATACACAAAAAGCAGCCCTGAGTTCACATTTTATTAATTTAAAAAATGGCTCACTCTCTCTGTTTTGGCGCTCTGTTTGAAGATGAAATCCACCAAAGAGGGAAGACCTGAGTCTTTAGTACCCTGTGTGCCAGCATAGAAAGGGCTCTGGAAAAGCCTCTATAATATCTATAGGACCCCCCCTCCCCTGACCATGAAAATCTTGTGGGCTTGGATTTGGACATTGTTAGTAGAAAGGGTTAAAGGCTGATGGGACCACAAAGAGATAGTTAGGTAGTTGATAGATCCCACAGTTTAACTTGATTCCTAGATGGAAGCTGGATTCATCTGATACTAGAGAAGTAAAGTTTCAAGGGACCAAAACCAGATCTGAATCTCACTTTTCTAGTCCAGACCTCTTCAGTGCTTGGATTTACAATAGCTAATGACTGCATTTTTCTTTTATGGATGAAGGTAGATGATTCATCAGTTTAAAGATGGATGCTGACTTTTCTCATAAAATGGTTTTATATAGTCAACTTGCAAAAATGTAAGAGATGACAATGGAGGGCGGTGCCTGTGGCTCAGTGGGTAGGGCACTGGCCCCATATGCCCAGGGTGGTGGGTTCAAATCTGGCCCTGGCCAAACTGCAACAAAAATATAGCTGGGCGTTGTGGTGGGCATCTGTAGTCCCATCTACTCGGGAGGCTGAGACAGGAGAATTGCCTAAGCCCAGGAGTTGGAGGTTGCTGTGAGCTGTGTGGTGCCATGGTACTCTACCTAGAGCAACAAAGTAAGACTCTGCCTCTTAAAACGAAAAAAAGAGAGAGATGACAAAGGAAAGAATAAAATCGTATTTTTATTTTCTTCTGTTAGTCTTATATATCTTTGGTAGATTGTAAGCTCTAAGAAAGCAGAATGTCTTCCTTATTTCTAATGCCTCTTCTAGAACAGATATTTCTTAAAAATATTTGAAGTTAATTGAATTGAAATCTCCATTTTTTTTTCTTTTTTTCTTTTTCGAGACAACAGTCTTGGGCTGTTGCCCTGGGTGGAGTGCTGTAGCATTATGGCTCATGGTAGCCTCGGACTCTTGGGCTCGAGCAATCCTCTTGCCTTAGTTTTTCTATTTTTGGTAGTGATGGGGTCTCATTTTTGCTTAGGCTGGTCTCTACTCGAAGTCATGAGCTCAGGCAATCCACTCTCCTTGACTTGAACTTATGAGCTGAGGTAGTCCACCCACCTCGGCCTCTCAGAGTGCTGGGATTGCAGGCATGAGCCACTGTGCTCAGTCTTTTTTTCTGTTTTAAATTTTTGGAAATGGCAGACATCTTAATGTCCATTCAACAAGGTATTTATATGGAGTAACTGGGACTCAAACCTTGATTGTTTTGTTTTGTTTTGTTTTGTTTTTTGAGACAGAGTCTCACTATGTTGCCCTTGGTAGAGTGCTGTTGGCATCACAGCTCACAGCAACCTCTTACTCTTGGGCTCAAGTGATTCTCTTGCCTCAGCCTCCCAAGTAGCTGGGACTACAGGCCTCACCACAATGCCTGGCTGTTTTTTTGGTTGTAGTTGTCATTGTTGTTTGGCAGGCCCGGGCTGGGTTTGAACCCACCAGTTCTGATATAATTGGCTGGCACCCTAGCTGCTGAGCTACAGGCACTAAGCCCATTTTGCTTTTTATATATTGATCTTGTATCATACAGTTTTTTATTTATTAGTTCTAATAGTTTTTTAGTGGATTCCTTAGGATTTTCTGAATATAAGATTTTGTTGTCTACAAATACAGTTTTACTTCTTCCTTTCCAGTCTGGGTCCTTTCTTTCTTTTGCTTATTACTTGCTCTGGCTTGAACTGCTAGTACGTGTTACTAGAAGTAGCAAGAGCAGACAGCCTTTTCTTATTCTTTTTTTTTTAATATAAGAATTTGAGTGATTGAGTGACTTTATCTTATTTAATTTATTTACTTTGAGATAGAGTCTCAGTTCGTTGCCTCCTGTAGAGTGCATGGCATCACAGCTCACAGCAACCTCAAATTCTTGAGCTTAAGCAATTCTCTTACCTCAGCCTCCCAGTAGGTGGGACTACAGGCACCCACCACAACACCTGACTATTTTTTTGTTGCAGTTGTCATTGTTTAGCAGGCCCAGGTCAGGTTCAAACCCACCAGCCTTGGTTTATTTGGCCGGTGCCCTAACCATTGAGCTATGGGCACCAAGCTTCAAACTTTGATTCTGATGCAAATTATATATGTAAATATGTAAAACTATCTGGTTATTTATCAGTCTACTTAAAACTAATAGTATCTGATTATGCTAGATCTTTTAAGAAGCTACAAAGAGGCTCATTGTGGTGGCTCATGCTTGTGGTCCTGGCACTTTGGGAGGCCAAGGTGGGTGGATTGCTTGAGTTCAGGAATTGGAGACAGGGCATGGTCTCTACTAAAATTAGAGCGGGAGCAGGGCATGGTCTCTACTAAAATTAAAAAAAAATCTAGTTGGCTCTATAGCAGGTACCTGTAATCTCAGCTAGTTGGTAGGCTGAGGTAAGAGGACCTCTTGAGCCCGGGGAACTGAGGTTGCCGTGAGCTACAATGATGCCACAGCACTCAAGCCTAGGGTGACTGATTGAAACTCTGTCTCCAAAAAAAAAAACAAGAAGCAGTGACTGCCAAACAAACTATTTATGTGAGGAATTGGTAGGTAGCAGCATACTGTCATTTAAGAAGAAATCTTTTATTATGGACATTTTTATTTATAGTCTTGCTGGATATTATTGATTTAAATTGCATATTCTTGTATGGTTATTTCTATGGCTGGGTACAGTAGCTCACGCCTGTAATCCTAGCACTCTGGGAGGCCAAGGTGAGTGGATTCCCTGAGCTCACAGGTTCAAGACCAGCCTGAGCCAGAGTAAGACCTCGTCTCTAGAATAGCCAGGCATTGTGGCAGGCACCTGTAGTCCCAGCTACTTGGGAGGCTGAGATAAGAGAATCGTTTGAGCCCAGAAGTTTAAGGTTGCTGTGGGTTGTGACGCCATGGCACTCTACCAAGGGCCACAACAAGACTCTGTCTCAAAAAAAAAAAAGAGTGGTTATTTCTGCTTTATATTCAATGTTGAAATAGTCTCAATTGTTCTGGCTAAATTATACTGCCCTATATTCTGTATTTTCATCCATGATGATTTATTTAACATTCAAGGGGTGCAAAATAAAAATCCAAATATTGGAAGTCTGATATACATTACTGTTTTTTGGAATGAGATTTAATACTCATGCTTATATCAGAATCTCATGAATGGTATGCAACTGCAATAACTTCGGTTGGCCAGAATATGAAATATGAAACCGATTTTTCACTGGGCACAGTGACTTATGCTCGTAATTCCAGCACTTTGAGAAGCTGAGGCAAGAGAATTGCTTGAGGACAGGAGTTTGAGACCAGCCTGGACGACATAGTGAGATCCCTCTGTCTAAATAGAAAATAAAAAAAATTAGTACTCCTATAGTCCTAGTTGCTGGGGAGGCTGAGGGTAGATGATCACCTGAGCCCAGGAATTGGAGGTTACAAATTGAACTGTGATGATGCCACTTGTACTCTACCCTGGGTGATAGAGTAAACCCCTGTTTCTAAACAAAATAAAACAAAATTCTATCCTTTCTTTTGATTAAGATTCTTAGGCCAGGTGTGGTGGCTCATGCCTGTAATCCTAGTACCCCAAAGTGGGATTGTTGCATTATTTATTGTCTTGAAGAATCTTCATACCATTTTTCACAATAGCTGTACTAATTTACATTCCCAACAGTGTAGAACCTCACCAACATTTGTCTTTCATTTTTTCTGTTATAATCATGAGGTGATATCTCATTGTGGTTTAATTTGTATTTTCCTGATGATTGGTGATGAGAAAGCTTGTCTTTTTGAATTGGATCATGTGCTCCATATTATTTTCTGACTTATAACTTTATATCTGCTCAATTTTCTCAGCTAAACCAAAAGAAAGAGGAAGTAGAACAGAGGAAGAATGAATACAACTTCAAAATGAAACAGCTAGAGCATGTGATGGATTCTGCCGCTGAAGTTCCCCAGGTACTTTTCAGAAAAAGAGTACATTGCAAGAGGAATAAGCAGTTTTGTCAGTGATAAAACATTGGAAAATACTAAGAGCATAGCTTTGTTTTTGTTTTTCTTAAGAAAATTTGAACTGTCTGGGCGTGTTGGCTCCCACCTATAATCCTAGTACTCTGGGAGGCTGAGACGGTGAGTTGCTTGAGCTCATGAGTTCGAGACCAAGACCCCGTATCTACTAAAAATAGAAAAACTGAGGCAAGGGGATTGCTTGAGCCCAAGAGTTGGAGGTTGCTGTGAGCTATGATGATGCCATGGCACTCTACTCAGGGTGACAGCTTGAGACTCTGTCTCAAAAAAGAAAAGAATAAAGAAAATTTTCACTAATACCTTCTGTCTGTTATTTGATAAAGATAGCAGTCTTCTGTTGTTTTGCTTGGACAAGAATTGGAATAATAAGCTAATAAATAACCTGAGCGTTTTTTCTCTGTGCTTGACATACACACTTTAAATGAAACCTTTCTAACATCATTTAACTGGGTATTCAAATAAGGTGTCATTTTATTTTATTTTAGAGTCCTAAATCACCACCTCCTTTTCCAACACATTTGGCAAAACTCCTGGAAACACAAGAACAAGAAATAGAAGACGGAAGAGCCTCTAAGACTTCTTTGGAACGCCTTGTAACAATGCTGAATGAAGATAGAGAAGTCAAAAACGCTGAAATCCTCAGAATGAAGGTAATTGGTAATTTTTTTCAGTTTTTTTTTTTTTTTTTCTCTTTTAAGAGACTGGGAACTCGTGGGCTCAAGCAATCCCCTGCCTCAGCCTCCAACAGACTGGGACTAGCTGTGCCACAATGCTCAGCCAGTAAATGTAATTTTTATGAATAAGCAGCAGCATCACAGTTACTGAGGATACAAAATTCAAAAGGCACAGAATGAAGGGTAGATGGAGAAGTGTTGCTCCTATCCCTGAGGCCCTTCTACCCAGGTTGCTGTCCCTGGAGGTTCCCAGGGTAGCTGGTTTCTTTTAGAGCTTTTCGTTGCATATATAACCGAGTCCATAAGCATCCTCTCCCTGGCCCGTTTGGTTTTTACATGATGATATTATAGTTATCTCAGTATAGTTTTAAATTTGTATTTCCTTTGTTAGGAGTAAAACTGAGCATCTGTTGTTTTTCTGTGAACTGTCTATTAGGCATTTTCTTATTGATTTGTAAGCATTCTTCATATGTCAGAGATTTGTTTTAGTCTATCATAAATATAAAATTCTTCCTTGTTTGCCATTTCTTTACACGTCCTCATAGTGTTTTGTCCCAGTTACTTGGGGTTATGATGTTTGTGAGTGGCAGGGTGTGGATATGGTTTAGGGCTGGGGGGTATGTGGTGGAGTGTGCGTAGCTGGTGTGCAGGTGCGTGGGGAGAGAATCCTAAGTGAAGTATCTACAGATATTTGTGGTGCTCTACAGAAGAGAGCACTTAGCCTGTGAAGTCATTGCTCTGCAGTGAATTTTTGTTTAGGAACATAATTAGCTCACTTTCATCAAGTGATGTCAAGTATGTAAAGACAGTATCACTCTTTTAAGTTTTGTTTCTCATGGAGAGGATCATCCCTGACCTTTTCATTTAGGACTGTTCTCAGTATGCTGTCTCAGGAATGTGGCTGTTATCTAGATTGGCATGATCATGAAACTTGGAAAAAATTAGATCAGGATAAAAGAAATCACACACTGGGCCACCAAATCCAAACCAACGTTCCTTGCAGCCAAGTATTTATTTCTTCTGGATGGTTATGCTCATAATTTTCAGGTTATAATCCAATTAAATTTTTTGTTTGTGTGTGGGGCGTTGTTTGAGATGGGGTCTCACTCTGTCTCTCAGGTTTGA